TTCTAGGAACCCACCGACATCAGGATACCACCTAGCATTCTTGTAAGAGGCTGCATTCAGCTTCAATACAATTTTGTTGGGAGATTCTTTCAATGAGAATGCCCATTTCGTGGTGGGTGATTTACAAGGGCACTGGCCCATACCACATTGAATGCTCAGCAGTTTTTGACCAAAAAGGGTATGACTCCCTTGCCCCACCCGCCCTATTCAGTTGATCTTGCCAAGAGTGACCTTTTTGTTTGTTTGTTCCTCAGATGAAAAAACCGCTCAAAGGAAAACTTTTTGTTGATGTGGAAGAGGTGAAACAAAAAAACAACAGAAGCACTGAAAGGCATCCAAATGAATGAGTTCAGAAACTGTTTTGAGCAGTGGAAAAAGCATCTTGATAAGGGTATTGCATCAAACGGAGAGTACTTTGAAGGTGACTGAAGCTTAAAACATGTAAGGATAAACAAATAATTTTTAATAAATTCTGGTTTTTGGGGGGGTGGTCCGCCTTGCATTTGACAAGTGAAGAAGAGGAGGAGAACTTGGAAAGGAAAGCATATCCTTCACGTTCTTTTCTGATAGGTATTTTCTTTTCCCGAGCACCCAGTAAGTCAGGCACTCTTCAGAATACACAATGAAATAGAATACTCCACATACATTATTCTATCCTTGGGTGATAGGATCTAGCCTCATGAATGATTAATTCATGAAACCCTATGTCTTTCTATGATCCCTCCACACACATACACTCAAAGATTTTGACTCTAACTACCCACCCACTGGAAAAATCAAGTCTACACCTAATTACTAATTAATGTGACAACCAAGTATAGGTTGAGCGTCCCTTATCCAAAATACTAAGTGTGTTAAATTTTTTATTTTTATTTTTTTCAGATTTTGGAATATACCATTATACCAAAATCTTTTGGAATATACCATTATACCAAAATTATATAGCATTATACCATTTGGACATCCCAAATTAAAAAATCTGAAATCTGAAATGCTTCACTGAGTATTTCCTTTGGGTATCGTGTTGGCACTCAAAACATTTTGGGTTTTGAAGCATTTTTGGATTTCATATTTGGGATGCTCAACCTGTCACTATCATTTAAGTCACAGAATGTCACCAACACTAAATTACACAGTACAGTAATTATTCTTCTCTTTGAGTTTCTGTCACCTAAAGCATATTTGGGATTATTTTTTCTTCTCTGAAAACTACAAAAGTACTGAACTATACACTGGGTCAGACCTATGATTTTAAGTTCAAATGTAAATTTAAGTTCTAAGTTAGTAAATTACATTTCCCTCTTCCATTCCAATCTTTTTTTTAAGTTGTGGGTCACTAACTAGTACAATTTTTAGTTTTAGTTGAGGTTCTAAATGAATCAACCTCGTAATCTTCAAATGATGAACTTGCAAAGCAGTGATGGGAGTTGCCCAGGGCTCTCCTACAGACACGTGAAAATGAAGGTGCTAGATTAATCCACAGGCACTCGGTGACTAGCCAGAAATTACAAAGAGGCAGACTGAATCCATATAAAGCATTTCCTAACAACACTGCCCAGTCTCAGAGGTGGCTTCTTTACACAAGGGACTGCTTCCTAGCACTCGGAGTGTTCCCACAGCAGCCAGCTGACAACTTGGGAAGGGGTGGGGAGGGGTGGGGTTGGCCTGAGAAACCTCTCAAGGCAGCTCTCACTCTGAGATTTGCTTTACACATAGAAGGGAAAGATATTCAAATCATGAGTATGCCTCTCCTGTAGAGCTTTAAGAAGCAAAGAGAAGCAGGCCATCCTGACTTCAGTTTGCTCCACTATAAGATGCCTTCAAGTTCTCAGGACGTATGGACATGATTCATTTCCCTGTGTCTGTTCCATCTGCCAAAACCTTGTAGCAAAGGTAAAAAGACTCAGAAGGGTACCTGACTTAGAAAGCCTCTGCCCAGGGGGCTTGAACGAATGACTCAGAGCCCGAGCCAGGGTGGAGGAAAGATTCCACGTGGAACAGCTGAGACTCAAATGGTCCTGCCACCTCACATTCTGGGGGCTGCACGGGGCTCCCCTCTCCACATTCATCATCACTTACCCCTCAGGACCCAGAAAACGGCATAGAAAAGTCACAGCCGAGCCAGGGTAGCCTAGGAAACACTAATAAATTCATAGTGAGTCACTTAAAAGTAACCCAAATATAGCATGCCGCAGTCAGTGTGGACATTGTGCAGACTGTTGAAATGCACGAGCATCTAAAAATAGGAATTACAGATTTGCAAATACAGTCATGTGCCACATAACACCACTTTGGTCAACAAGGAAACACCTACACTCTGGTAGTCCCATGAGATTATAATAGAGCTGAAAAACTCCTGTCACCTAGTGATGTCATCACTGTCTTAACACCACAGTACAACGCATTACTCACGTGTCTGTGTGTGACTTTGAACAAAACAACTGCATTGCCAGTCATATAAAAGTACAGTAGTATCCTAGTCTTCACATTCATGTACTCAGAGCAGTTTCCAGTCCTACAAACTCCATTTATGGCAAGTGCCCTATACACGTACATAATTTTTAAAACTTTAAACTATATTTTTACTGTACCTTTTCTATATTTAGGTGTGTTTAAATACACAAATGCCATTGTCTTACAATTGCCTATAGTATTCAGTAGAGGAACACACTGTGTAACTTTGTAGCCTGGGAGTAATAGGCTAGACCACACAGCCTTGGTGGGCAGAAGGCTAACCACCTAGGTTTGCATAAGTATACTCTCTGATGTTCACACAATGACAACATTGCCTAATGACACATTTCTCAGAACAAATCCCTGTCACTAAGTGATGCATGATTGTAATTCCTTATCACATTCATGTTTCAGATTTTGAGACATCGACTGTACCATGATATAAATCCTAATACAGTGGTATTCCTAAAATGAATCCTACATGAAAGTTGTATCTGCAAAAGGACCAACTTTCCAAGAAGGAAAATAGGAACCACTTCTGATACCACGTTGGCTGTTTCCATGAGCTAAACCAGCAAAACTTTGCCTCAAATATGATCTCAGGACTTTCATCTTTCTCAAGAGTTTCATCTTTTACTTAATCCCTGTCATCAGAGCATCATCTCATCAACAAAGAGCAGAAACAAGATTTTTCTCGACATTAAGTCTGAGAACAAGTAGAGGTACAATGATTAGCAGTACTTAGACATCAGTTCAGATAAATGAAAGGTTTTCTGTGATTTGTTGGTAAAGTACAAGTTGTACACATAGTAGGTGGCAGATAATTAAAACTCAACTGAACCATACATTTTTGAAAAGAGAAAATAATTCTGAATAGAGTAAATGTGACTTTTAATTTTAACTAGGAGTTATTGTCCCCTGGATGCTCAGGCATCCCTCTCCAGTATCCTTTTGAAGCAGAGGTAAGAAAAAATGTCCTAAGAACACCTGGAATTATTCTGTCCACATCTATCAGCTTTCCTTCAGCAAAAGTCACCGTCATGGAGACATAGTTCAACTCACCTTGAGGCCAATTTTATTTTTTAAAGAAATAAAAATCCTAACTCCTTTTTTTGAAAAGATGCATACCATACAAAATTTTTTTTCTTCTTTCAAGCTTTCTCTAAAAGAGAAACATTTCACTGGGAATTTTATTACTAAAAATGATGACAAATAGTTGCTCCTGTGTTTCAAGATCTTCAAACTACTGATATGTATATATATATATATATATATATATATCTATCTAAAAACATGGATTACACATTTGCACATAGTTCTTCATTTTACTCATGTTTCAGATTTTGCAACATCTGTGTAATGATGTCATCCCCAATTATAGTGATATTCCTAAAATGAATCCTTTGTGAAAGCAAGCCTGAGCCACAGCCCCTCCAAGAAACCAAGAGGGCAAAGAACATGTCCTCAGGAACCACTTACAAACATCAAAATAAAGGGAACTGTAACATATTACTTTTAGGAGTAACTAGGTAGACCAAAATTTAGAGCTGTACAAATGTTTCCCGTATTATCTCTGTAAACTCAAGAAAGGACAGAAAATAAACAAGCTTGGAGAACAGAAATTGAAAACAAATAATACATTAGTCTCTCTCTCTCTTTCTCCTCATCCTCTCTCTTGCTCTCTGTCTTTCTCTGTCTCTCCCTCTCTCTTGCTCTCAGATGATTTCAACTTGATTCACCTTCTCTAATCCCTTCAAAACAGCCCTCTACACAGAAACCTCTACGACTTTCCTGGGCCTCTGGCAAGGTCTTGAAAACCAGTATCTGAGCTGTCATGGCTTCGGATCCAATAACATTGACTTTGAAGTCGAGGCTGAGATGGGGTCTGGTCATCAAAGGCTCAGCTGAATGGGCAGCCTCCAGATCTTCTTTAGGGACGGTGGCTCTCGTAACTTGCTCTGAAGGCTATTAATTCTTGTATTAAAATACAGTCCGCATCAGTCTTAGGAAAGAGGCCTGAAGCGGCATCACCTCAGCTAACGGGGACCTCTCTGGGCACAGACCTGAAGAATCTCAGGTGTGCTTTCCTACCTTTCACATCATTCAGTCAGTTTTTAGAAATCCAGTCAAGTACTCCACCAATAGGAAGGCATGGCAGGTAATCACAGGTGACTAAATGCCTCTTTCAGCTGATATGTAATAGCTAATATGTTTCATGACAGCACAATGCTCTAACACCATTCTTGGATTTATCACTGGCTTCTTAACTGTGAAGCAAAGGGCTCTTGAAATCAGTCCTTGGATAAGTCATTTTCTAGATTGTAAGAAGAGCTTTAAAATCTTTTATCTGCACATTAACTCCCCATAACCAGTAGAGCCAAATAAGTGTTTTTTCTTCAGTAGATGATTAAACAACAGCAGCGGTAGACGAAGGCAGTTGATTCCAAGTCTTGACTATTCACACAAAGAAAATGACACACAGTTGCACAGGCGAGCGGGTTTCTCTTCCCCGCAGGTGCCCCGCCACCCCATCCCACCCCACTCACGCATGGCTTGTCGGCTCTGCTCCGGCTGCGTGCTGTCCGTGGACTGGGTACTGGAGACCGAGGACACGCTGGAACTCCGCACAAAGCCAAACGCCGCCAGCTTGGCTGCTGGGAGACGAGAGTACCCAGGAGGACGGAGCCCAGATTTCGGAAGATTGGATTTTGCAGCATTTGAACTGGAGGCTTTCTTTAAATCTGCTAAAATGAATCCAAACAAACAAACAAAAAATCATTCTCAGTTCACAACAAGGTAGAGGGAATCGCATAAATTGTGAATTCGAACCTAGCTCCATTCCAGAGGGAAATCAATCTTGCAGGGTGCTATTATGCACATTTGCAAATGACTCTTGAAGGGACAGGGCACTTCCTGTGGCCAAAAGCTTCAGATAACTCAGAGAGAAGGGACAGTCCCCCACTAAAGAAGTCACAGTCTACTTAGGCAGATGCGTTGAGGACAGCCATATAGCCCCATGTTAAGGCTATAAGGAAAGGTAAAAAGTACTTAAGATGGTGAATGAAAAAGAATGCTTTCATTCCTCTAGATTTACTCTAGATTACTGTAGATTTGTGAAATTGAGTACACCTTAAATTGTAACAAACAACGAGCAAAGAGCCCTCGTGGCAAATATTCACTAATAATTTTAACCAGTAGATAATAAGTCTCATAAAAACATGGACAAAGTATCACCTAACTAATCTACGGGTTGCACAGATGAGGTGTATAGACTACGGAACTAGCCAGGTTGAACTCTGAGCTCTCCTAATGACCAGCTGTTTACCCTTGCCTTCACACTTTGAGCCAAAGTTTCCTTTCAGGTAAAGAATCAGATGGTAAAACTGGCCTTGCAAGTTTAGTACAAGTAGTACTGCTAGAACCGCAGAACTCAATATGTGCTCAAAATGATGCTAGATTTCTTTTCTCTTTTTTCCATTATTTTTATTATGTTAGTCCAAACTTCAAAACTAGTTCCCCAGATACGTGCAAAGTCAGCTTATTTTGAAATAATAAAGCATCAAGTTATAAATTCAGCATCCCAGCTCTGAGTCTGAGCCAGGCCTCAGCAACAGCAACTGTGATAATTATCATAACACCATGAGAACGCTCTTGGCACCAAGGAGAATCAGAATATTATCAACACAAATGATCTCTGAGATGAAATTTATAAGGTCCAAGCTTCCTGATCTAATTGTCCTCATCGAACCATTTAACACCTTAACCTACAGTCATGTTTTACCATGAGTACTTGTACACAGACCATTAAGTGGCATTCTTACACTAGAATCAACTCTTTATCACCTAGTAAAATATTAGACAGGAGCCGGGCTCGGTGGCTCAGCCTGTAATCCCGTGCCTTTGGGAGGCTGAGGTGAGTGGATTGCCTGAGCCTGCGGGTTCAAGACCCGCCTGGGCAGCGAGACCTCATCTCTACAATAAATCAAAAAATCAGCCGGGCATGGTAGCGCACCTGTAATTCCGGCTACTCGGAAGACTGAGGCGGAAGGATCGCCGGAGCCCAGCAGGGAGAGGCTGCGGTGGCCGGGAGCGGCCACTGCACTCCAGTCTGGGTGACAGAGTGAGACTCCAACTCAAAAAATATATATATATATTAGACAGATTCCACATTAAACATAATTTAAATAGTGACTATTTATTTTTTAAAAAATCAATGTCTATAAATCAATAAAGAAACTTCGTATTTCACTCATAAGTGGACCCTGAGCATTTACCATAATATTATAAGAAAAGGATTGGGGCTGGGCTCGGTGGCTCAGCCTGTAATCCCGTGCCTTTGGGAGGCTGAGGTGAGTGGATTGCCTGAGCCTGCGGGTTCAAGACCCGCCTGGGCAGCGAGACCTCATCTCTACAATAAATCAAAAAATCAGCCGGGCATGGTAGCGCACCTGTAATTCCGGCTACTCGGAAGACTGAGGCGGAAGGATCGCCGGAGCCCAGCAGGGAGAGGCTGCGGTGGCCGGGAGCGGCCACTGCACTCCAGTCTGGGTGACAGAGTGAGACTCCAACTCAAAAAATATATATATATATTAGACAGATTCCACATTAAACATAATTTAAATAGTGACTATTTATTTTTTAAAAAATCAATGTCTATAAATCAATAAAGAAACTTCGTATTTCACTCATAAGTGGACCCTGAGCATTTACCATAATATTATAAGAAAAGGATTGGGGCTGGGCTCGGTGGCTCAGCCTGTAATCCCGTGCCTTTGGGAGGCTGAGGTGAGTGGATTGCCTGAGCCTGCGGGTTCAAGACCCGCCTGGGCAGCGAGACCTCATCTCTACAATAAATCAAAAAATCAGCCGGGCATGGTAGCGCACCTGTAATTCCGGCTACTCGGAAGACTGAGGCGGAAGGATCGCCGGAGCCCAGCAGGGAGAGGCTGCGGTGGCCGGGAGCGGCCACTGCACTCCAGTCTGGGTGACAGAGTGAGACTCCAACTCAAAAAATATATATATATATTAGACAGATTCCACATTAAACATAATTTAAATAGTGACTATTTATTTTTTAAAAAATCAATGTCTATAAATCAATAAAGAAACTTCGTATTTCACTCATAAGTGGACCCTGAGCATTTACCATAATATTATAAGAAAAGGATTGGCACACAACATCCATAAGGATACCTAATCTCAAACCAGTCAAAGTGGAGACCAAAGGGAAGTCCAAACTTTACCTGTATGATGACCACTTATATACCTAACCCTGAATTGTAACCCATATCTTTAAAATAAAAAATTAAAATTAAAAAAACTCCATATTAGAAAGCATCTATGTGTAGACATATAGAGAGAACCAAAAAATGCCATGCTTCATCTATGGGGTTCCACAGAAAAGTGTATCTTCCTCCCCATCTGACTCCTCCCCATCCTAGTCCTGACCCCGGAGTCAGGAAGCTGCAACTGTGACAATTCTGCCTCCACAAGGACACAAAGATGGTCATGCCTTCATGTTTGGGGAAGCTGCTGTCACAGGAAGAAGAACTTTTCCGTAGGCCACCACAGACCCAGCATGTATTGGTTCTCTCTATGTTTCTTCACATCGGTGCTTTCTAATATGGATTAATCTGGTAGAAGAAAAGATCATTATATAACATGGATTTGTTATATAATTTGAATAGTATACACACCTTCATGGTTTGGAGGAGCAAGGCTTATTCTTTTTTATACCATCAGTGCCTAGCACAGTAATTTCCACAATTTATTATTTAATAAATGTTCAGTTGAAGCTTACATGAGACAAGCTTGTACTACCTTAATTTAACCACAGTATGAGTCAAATACCTCTACTGGTTTCTTTTCATGAGAACCAGTCTGGAGCGGAACTCAAAAGTCTGCTTTTTAAACAAGCACCTCAGTGATTCTGACTCAGGTTTTGAAAATGACTTTGAAAATGTCAACAGAAGATGCCAATTCACCCTGGGAAATAACTGTATTCAGCTGCTCTGATCGGATGTGTATTAATTTAATCTGAGTTTCTCATAAGAGGGACTGTTTAAATAAAATATGTAGTCCTTACTATTTTTCAAACAAGTTCAGTGTTATGAACTGAAAGTTTGTATCCCATCAAAATTCACAGGTTTATAACCTAACATCTTCCATGCAATGGTATTTTGAGGTGGGGCCTTTAGGAGGCAATTAGGTTATGAGGATGGAGCTATCACAAATGGGATTAGTGTCCATACATAAAGAAGCCAGAGAGTCATCTCCCTCTTTCCTTTTCTTCTCACTGTAGAGATACAAGAAAATGGCAGTCAGCAACCCTGATCTAAGACTTTCAGCCATTAGAACTGTGAGAAATAAATTTCTGTTAAGTGCTATCCAGTTATGGTACTTTACTATGCCAGTCTGAACATAATAGTCAACATATCAGAGGGACACATGTCTCCAAGTATTTAGTGTCCTTGGACTATTCAAGAATATAGACTTTGACAGAAAAAAAATGTATCAAGAACATAGTAAGGCCTCAATAAACAAATGATAGCTATTAATGTTATAGTAAAGATGAGACAGCTTCCAGAATGATAGCATGAGACACTTCATGGATAACCTCTCCAGCAAAATAACCATAACTGGTTAAAAAAAATTTTTTTTAAGTCTTTGGAAATTGTTCTAAGAGCATATGTCACATACAAAAAAACTTATATAAGAAAATCTACTAAATCTCAGTGAGAACAGTGAGAGTCAGTGACACTTGAGTCATAGCCTGCTCCCTTTCTACCCTCTACCAGTTTCCAATCACAACATGATAGAAGCTCTGCTCCAGATGAGTTTCCTCTCCCTGGAGTCAAGGAATATAGTATCTTCCTGAGATGGACAGGTCATCACCATTTTTCATCTTCACCTTGTCACCCCTTTCCCCCAGCTCCAAACTGCAGAGGTTAAATTACACATGAGAGTGGTCGAGGGACCCTTCCTTCACCTAGCCCCAACTTATAGAGCAGAAGCACTACCCTAGGCACAGTAGGCCAAACAATATTGGAGCCCTAATCACCATTGCCTTGGCTTACTTGTAGGTTAACGGTTCAACTTTAAGGGAGAAGGCTAGAGGCTATTGCCCCTACCTAGCACTTCAATTATAAATCAGGGGTGTCAATCCAAAAGAAGAAGGCCACTGTCCTCACCCCTGGCACCAGAGTTGTGATTTTACCCAAGTACAGAGGAAGTAATAACAGCTCTCCAGAGCCCTCTGCAAAGGAACTGACTTTATTTGGAACAAAGTGTGGGAGAAGTTCGAGCCTAAGGGCACTCTTGAAAGCAAGGGAGATTTTGATAGCAAGCAGTTAGAGGAGGCTAGCAGTAACTCCATGAATGCAAGACAATAAACTGTAGGTTAGCTAGTTCATCAGCAGGAGCCAAGGAAATAGCTAAGAGAACTATCCAGAGTTCAGAACTAATCTCAAGGAGTGGCTTCAAAAGCTACCCTAGAAAAGGAGCCTGAATTTAACTGGATCAGACTATGGTATATTTTATGTCCTAAGGCACAGTAGAAATTGCACAATCAGTCAGTAATTAATGGAGCCTAACAGCTGAGTGTAATACCAAAGGGAGAAAGACAGCTTTACAATGAAGGGAAACAATAAAGAAATACAGTCCAGATAAAACATTAACAGTGTGATTGTGCATATGCCTAAGGCAGTGCCCTCTGTGGAGTGACATCAGTGACTTCCCAATACAA